TAAAAAATGTTGTTTGAAAATTTTCGTAATATTTGCTGGAAATCACTGACCAGCGAATTGCGTAGCTCATCTACACAAACGTTATCACAGATAGATATCTGACTTTTATTAAATTTGCCATATTTTCAGAATATTTGTTGCCATAGCAACCAGAATTTTCAACATAGGAAGAAAAGAAAAAGACGTGCATAATCTCCATACTGCCATCTATCCATATATCAAGTTTCATAAAAATATTTTCATTACTTTTTGCGTTATCGCGGGATCCAGTTTTGTGGACGGTACAACCGGTTTCAAACATATTAGAACAGAAAAGGCCCTATATCGGAAATGATATATGGGGTTTATTTAAGAAATAAAAAATGGCCTTTCGGGGAAAATGCAAGCTTACGGACTGGTTGGTCTGGCCCGAAGCGCAGCTGAGGTCCATATACCTTCCGAAGTCTGAACAACTAGTCCCTAAACTTGCATTTTCCACGAAAGGCCATGTTTTATTTGTTCTATTATACAGAATCTAAATCCTTTCATCCCCTTGTTTTGTGCTGTCATTTTTACTATTATTTGCTTTCAAATAATAATTTTACTTGTCCAGTGTGTGAAATATCTCAAACCCTAAACGGATTTTGTGTATGCTCTTCTTTTAATATTCCGATTACCGATGATTTAGGAGTTGTGATTCCATTTTTGTTAATGAAATTTAATATTAATTTAATGTTACTAGGCAAAATAACCCGGACTTTAAGAATTTCAGAAACAGTATAAATAAAATTTTTAACTAAATTAAAGAAAAATCATGACTTTTGATCAACATGTAGTACATTTATGTCTCAGATAAAGAGACAAATCGCCTATCCATTTTGACAGTTATCGTCTGTTTGTGTCGTCGTGAAATTCGCACGTCGTGAAAGCTACGTTTAACCTGCGGTCTGGAGACCGCAGGTGGTACGCGTTTAACTTTTGAGGCATGGAGGAGCACGTGACCTGTTTTCGGTACATGGAGGAGCACGGGATATGTAAACCTTACATGATTGGTTAATTGAACTTTCGAAAACCTGGCTAAATACCGTTTGCCGGTTCGTGACGGATTTACCTCTGGGGAATTAGGCAGAATTACATCTAATTACAACAAAATAACTGTTACGTGATATTTGTAATTTTGTTTAAATATTTTACCGTTTAAGGTTGAAAAACTTGAATAATGTGTTTGAAAATTATCAATGTTTCTTTAATATAAACAATTTATTGTCTGTAAAATTTGAGATACATACTAATTGAAATATTCGATCATAGTGGCATATGCCATAATAAATAGAGATATTTTCTGCGTAAACTTGTGTGTTTACTTATTTTTTTGTTCGGAATTATTCATAAAATGGTAGGCCTATTGAATCATTCTCTTAAAAAGAAATAATTGTTTTATGTTCGACCTTCTCCGGTCATCAACGGTCACCAGTTTCCAATGACCTTCTTCTATATTGATCGACTATATGTTGTCCCCCAAACAATGTTGAAAATAGTTAAATGAAATATCTTATATCATTTAAAATGTTCCCCGCAGGAAACCATTTTACTTGTAAGAATTATGGCCCGCCCCCGGTCTGTATGCGGTTTTTGGACCGGATGACGTCATATTGAATATAGAAGACCGTATGCAAATGAGGTATAATATAATTTATTATCTCTCAATAATAGACTCAAAAGAAAATAGAGACTGCAAGTGTCAACTATATATATTTGCTTTGGAATATTGCTCTTGAGGGATCTCCACGATGTCCCATTACAGCCATCACGACACACATATAACGCGAAACAGCGTTAAAACGAATTTATGATGGTTAAAAGTCGAACAAATAAAGAAGAAAAAAAAGATAAAAAAAAAACAACAACAAAAACAAATGAAACCACGATGTTGAAAACTCTGCATAATATCGTATCATCGTCATCGTACTTTCGACCTCTCGCCATAGTAGTTCCGTTGTTTCGTGACCTGGTAGCCTTTGTTCATTTAGTGTTTAGTTTCTTGCTCAAGAAATAACGGCTTGCCCCTGTCTTGGTTTGTGCCCACACGGTGAGCGATACATAGTTGACTATTTCGACGCGCTAACCACTCGCCATAACAATACTTTATTTATTATATACATGCATAATTTAGTATTATAACATAATGATATGGTTATAAAGATATTTATTTCGTGTACACGTTATGTTTTTATATTTATTTTCAAAAGATTTTAAAGAATAATATGACCGTTATAAAATAAGATTATATTCCAAATATTGGCACCATTGTAACAAAATGTATTTTTTTACCATAATTTATGCGGTGTTGAGGTATAACAATTATGCGATGCAGATGGAAAATGGGAGCAAAACCTTACAAAGCAAAGGTACTGTACATTTATTCTGGGAATATTCATATATACAACACCATAAGAATGAAGTGTTAAAGTACAGCAATAACAAAACGATATATTGACAAACATGTGATTCATGATAATAATGTAAACAACTACATACTTTTACAAGCAACATACAACATATACAAATGTTAAAACAAATCAATGTTTAAAAATTACAAGTTAACGTTTTGAACTTAAACAAAAAATAGCGTTAAAATGACAACATGGAAACATTCAATACATTTTTCACCCGAATAACTTGTGCTAGCAATCAGAATCCCAACCATTCAACTTTTCAGTTTCATCCAATAACAAGGAGGTAATCATTTAGGGTATGACCATAGCCCCATCTGTAATCATGAGTTATTGTTAATAAATGTGTAAGCAAAAGTTATTTTGTAAAGTCAGTAAAGGATGACTTATACTCATGGATTGAACGGAGATAATAAATTGGATGGGACCAGAAAAAATGTTTTAAAACTTCATAAAGGACAATTCATATGTGTTACAGAAATTGTACACCATATATTAGCCTGCGATCCAGTCTGTCACTCTTATGTCCTGTTCGGCTGATCGATATTATCAAAAACACGAACAAGTATGAAATAACGCATATGTGTTTTATTGTTAAAAAATCATTTTTGGCCGCCAGGCCGCCGGGCCGCCGGGCCGCTGGGCCGCCAACTTCACAAAAATGACAAACTTAAAAAAATCTCTGAAAGTGATTTTTTCTTTAGATATGTCTTTTAAATAACAATAATTATCTTTAAAACTTCATTAAATGCCGTTTTATTGTTAAAAAAAAACATTTTTACAACATTAAAATTTTTGGCTGCTAGGCCGCCAGGCCGCTAGGCCGCCAACTTCACAAAAATGACAAACTTAAAAAAATCTCTGAAAGTGATTTTTTCTTTAGATATATCGTTTAAATAACAATAATTATCTTTAAAACTTCATTAAATGCCGTTTTATTGTTAAAAAAACATTTTTACAACATTAAAATTTTTGGCTGCTAGGCCGCCAGGCCGCTAGGCCGCCAACTTCACAAAAATGACAAAATTAAAAAAATCTCTGAAAGTGATTTTTTCTTTAGATATATCGTTTAAATAACAATAATTATCTTTAAAACTTCATTAAATGCCGTTTTATTGTTAAAAAAAAACATTTTTACAACATTAAAATTTTTGGCTGCTAGGCCGCCAGGCCGCTAGGCCGCCAACTTCACAAAAATGACAAAATTAAAAAAATCTCTGAAAGTGATTTTTTCTTTAGATATATCGTTTAAATAACAATAATTATCTTTAAAACTTCATAAAATGCCGTTTTATGGTTAAAAAAAACATTTTTACAACATTAAAATTTTTGGCTGCTAGGCCGCCAGGCCGCTAGGCCGCCAACTTCACAAAAATGACAAACTTAAAAAAATCTCTGAAAGTGATTTTTTCTTTAGATATATCGTTTAAATAACAATAATTATCTTTAAAACTTCATTAAATGCCGTTTTATTGTTAAAAAAACATTTTTACAACATTAAAATTTTTGGCTGCTAGGCCGCCAGGCCGCTAGGCCGCCAACTTCACAAAAATGACAAAATTAAAAAAATCTCTGAAAGTGATTTTTTCTTTAGATATATCGTTTAAATAACAATAATTATCTTTAAAACTTCATTAAATGCCGTTTTATTGTTAAAAAAAACATTTTTACAACATTAAAATTTTTGGCTGCTAGACCGCCAGGCCGCTAGGCCGCCAACTTCACAAAAATGACAAAATTAAAAAAATCTCTGAAAGTGATTTTTTCTTTAGATATATCGTTTAAATAACAATAATTATCTTTAAAACTTCATAAAATGCCGTTTTATTGTTAAAAAAAACATTTTTACAACATTAAAATTTTTGGCTGCTAGGCCGCCAGGCCGCTAGGCCGCCAACTTCACAAAAATGACAAACTTAAAAAAATCTCTGAAAGTGATTTTTTCTTTAGATATATCGTTTAAATAACAATAATTATCTTTAAAACTTCATTAAATGCCGTTTTATTGTTAAAAAAACATTTTTACAACATTAAAATTTTTGGCTGCTAGGCCGCCAGGCCGCTAGGCCGCCAACTTCACAAAAATGACAAAATTAAAAAAATCTCTGAAAGTGATTTTTTCTTTAGATATATCGTTTAAATAACAATAATTATCTTTAAAACTTCATTAAATGCCGTTTTATTGTTAAAAAAACATTTTTACAACATTAAAATTTTTGGCTGCTAGGCCGCCAGGCCGCTAGGCCGCCAACTTCACAAAAATGACAAAATTAAAAAAATCTCTGAAAGTGATTTTTTCTTTAGATATATCGTTTAAATAACAATAATTATCTTTAAAACTTCATTAAATGCCGTTTTATTGTTAAAAAAACATTTCTAGAACATTAAAATTTTTGGCCGCCAGGCCGCCAGGCCGCTAGGCCGCTAGGCCGCCAACTTCACGCCGCTAGGCCGCCAGGCCGCTAGGCCGCCAACTTCACGCCGCCAGGCCGTTAGGCCGCCAGGCCGCCAACTTCACGCCGCCAGGCCGCCAGGCCGCCAGGCCGCCAACTTCACACATCTTATAAAAAAAACGTATCTTGCTAATCAAATAAAATTTTATATCTTCATAACTCTGTCATTATGTTATAATACTTTATACATGTATATTTGTTAATATATCTGTGTTATATTTGAAAATAAAAATTGTATAAATGAAATTTTATATCCAACAGGAGCATTTATAAAAAAAATTATAGGACAAAATCTTAATTTGTTTTATGATGTTTTGTGTTTGTAAATCTATATATTGTTAAAAAAGGCCACATTTATAATTAAGATATGTTATTTGTTTTCGATGATGGTATACCTATATGTGTTACCATCTTTAAAAAAAGAAGATATTATTATTATTATTATTATTATTATTATTAATATATGTAACAAGCTAACTTAAAAAAGTAACAAGTATAAAATACACAGCCTAAAGTTTTACATTTTAGGTGATATGTATACTACCACCATCTACTTCAAACATTAAAATTTTGAAAATTTTCTCTCTGGTGATTGTCTATTTGAAACTATGTTTTCTAATTTATGCAGAATGACTTATTCTTTCCTCGTCGAGACTGTCCGGTACAAAACAAAGAGGTAAAAGATCACCAGTCTTCATGTTTTTATATGAATGGTCTGGTTTTGTCATATACACGTCCCAGTCCACACCAAACTGTAAAATAGAACAAACACTTCAAAACTGTCTGTGAAATGAGCTGCGTCACGACAAAACCAACATAATGTGTTTGCGACCAGCATGGATCCAGACCAGCCTGCGCATCCGCGCCGTCTGATCAGGATCCATTCTGTTCGCTTACAAACCCTATAAAAAGTAAAGAAACTGATAGCGAATAGCATGGATTCTGATCAGACTGCGCGGATGTGCAGGCTGGTCTGGATCCATGCTGGTCGCAAACACATTATCTTGGTTTTGTCGTGACACGGCTCAAATAGTCTGACCAAACATGAGTTTTACGCTTGGTCAATTACGACCTCAGTGTGAATATCACAACAATATAGACAAGTGTGCAAAAAGAAAATCTGTAACTGTCTGAAAAGAAACACAAAACTTATTCATGATACCTTTCTTTATGGGCGGAGGAGTTTTTCAACTTCATTTATACAGTATACTTGTATAATAATTATACCTCTCTTATTACGTATATAGATACTAAAATTAAAATAATGATGTTTTGATGTTTTTTATTACAAAAGGGTTGTTAAAACATGTTCGGAAGGGTAAAGCTAAAACTTAATTAGTTATATTTCATAAGGTATGGCATAAAAACATTATCGTGTTTTCACTTACTAGAAAATTAAAATGCATTTCAATTAGTGGCTAGCATTTAATTTTCTCATTACGAAAATGCAAATACATGTATAACTTTTCACTACGACCGGGAAAAACAACAACAACAATAAAAGATACCCTGTATGATTAATGCAAGTTTAGATATTCTAGATACACTGCGTTGTATTCAACCATTGTATAATCATATACTTACCGGTGATATATTTAAATGTACGAAATGAAGTGACGATATGATGACGTTAAAAATTAAGAAAGCTATTAAGTAAACTTCAGATTATTAATTGAAATATTAGTTATTTTAAGTTCTATAATAATACATTTGTATAGATACCAATGTAAAAGTGCTGGTTAAGAAAAACTGTAATGGGGCGTCCGTGGCCGAGTGGTTAAGGTGGTTGACTTCAAACCACTTGCCCCTCACTGCTGTTGGTTCGAATCCTGACAGGGACTTTGGATTCTTTCATGTGAAGAAGCTATCCACCTAGCTTACGGAACGCCTGTGGTTCTACTCAGGTGCCCGTTCGTGACTAAAATAATGCGAAGCATACCCTGATGGTATCAACAAAGTCAGACATACCTCTACCAGGAACTGGCGACATGCCCCACATGGTGCTATCATAGAGCTTGACATATCACTGTAACATAAATGATATAAAATATCAAGTCCTTGTTAATAAGTTCTAAAAGTGACTAGCTAGCTTATGTAGATCATATCGCTTGAAAAAAATAATCAAACAACTTTTTAATGAACCTCTTAATGTTGTATTAAGCCATATCTTACCCTTTGAATAACATAAATTTAAATTACAGACACGATCTAGAATTTTTTCGGTTGGAAAAAAATAATATATGTATTTTAAGTGTTGATTTCAGATGCAATTTAGGCGCACATTTATAAAAAAAATAAATTTCGCCACATTTCAAACTTTGGAAAGTGCATAACTAGGGTTTAAAATTCTAGTTGACCTCTGTAAAATCTACATATAAAATGGAGGGTACTGATGCATTCTACATTTTTCAGAAAATTTTCAGACATGCGTTAAATGCTAACCTTTCTTTTGAACTTTCACTAATATGAATGATGCTGCCTAATCAGGGCTTTTTTTACAGATTAGAGAAAGGGCTCTTCCCTAAAGTGTTTTGGTAAATAACATGTTATTTATGTTAAAGGAGAGGAAAAAACCTGAGCAAACTGAATTTTTAGGGAAAACTGGAGGCTTTTAAAGAATTTTCCAGAGGGCAGGATGGCTATAAATTGCCCCTGACATAGGCGGAAAAAAACTGATAAATGTATATTAACCCTGAAAAGGATATTATTGAAATGCTTATTGGTAAATTTTTTACATTATTTATGCTTCAGTATTTTATTAATGTAAATGGTTCAAAAAGCTGCACATGCGGGAAGTGCGCCATAATCATTATCCTATTGAAGGGGCTTCTTCTTATTCACCAGTAGTAAGTTATGTAATTGAAGTGCCTGCATGTCCCCTGTTGCACTAACACATTATGTGGTAATCGCCTCAAGATATGCATAGTTTTATGACAGGAAGTTTTTTTTACTTCATCGTTATTTTTTCAATAAATTTTATATATAAGAAATTTTAATGACAACAAGGAATGGTATACATTAATGAGCCGCGCCACGACAAAACCAACATAGCGAGTTTGCGACCAGCATGGATCCAGACCAGCCTGCTGTACGCTTACAAATCCTATTACAAGTAGAGAAACTGATAGCGGACAGCATGGATCCTGATCAGACTGCGCGGAGGCGCAGGCTGGTCTGCATCCATGCTGTTCGCAAACGCACTATCTTGGTTTTGTCATGACGCGGCTCATTTATTTGATTACCTGGCTATGGCAATTGCCTTAAATTGTTTATGACCGTCAGATATAGCCTTCACTAGAGCGGTTCTTTCTGCACAAATGGTCAAACCATAAGAAGCATTCTCAACATTACATCCTGAAAATAATGACAAAACACATATTCTCAAACAAACAAAAAACTGTGCAATGAAAGTGTGTCTACTTGTCAAAAGAGATCTATGTAAAATGTTAGATGGTTAAATCAATTTGCTACTTAAACCAGTCAGAGAGTTTAAATGTCATCATAAAACGACAGAATCTTTAAGGATCAATGTCAGAGTGTTTAAACTTGTGTGCCCGAAACTAACGGAAAAAAATACACCGAATTAATTTTCTCTATTTGTGCACAAGAACGACAGAACCCTCTAGATATTGTTTACTTTCATTTTCGCTCACAATTAAACATTGAATATGTCGTGTCTTCTCTCCTAACTCACAAATAATTGTTGACTTTAAACCATGGCGTTCACGCCATCACTATTTATTGTGATTTTAGCAAACAACGTTGTTTTCAATAACTACATTGTATTTGATTAAAAACGTTAAGATTATACCTTATGCAAGACAATGAAATAAGTAACATAATTATATACATGTATGAAGACGTACCTTTAATTACCGTGCCATCTTGACAGAGCAGTGCAGCACCAACACGGAATTTGCTGTAAGGAGAATAAGAGTTGTTCTTCGCTTCGTGACTTGCCTTCACCAAAGATTTTACTTGTTCTGCATTTACAAATGACAAATGGTCTATTTCAAATACAACGCAAATCAAAGGGCTGCAAGCTCATGCATGTAATTTCCTGTATAAGTTTATTTTTATATACTATAATTCATCTTACAGGGAACCGAGATGCAGTCACTGCGTTTAGATTTTTTACTTTAACAGTTTGAGTTTTATACATGTATACGGAATTTTGGATGACTAGAGTTCGATCGATTTACACACATATATCAATTTGCATACAAATGTATATATAAAAACACACACATAAATGCAACAAAAATAATTATAAGATTAATTAATGAGTATGTTCCCTAGGATTGCCCATTAAGCTAAAAGCTTATTTCCAATGGGGTCCATTTACTGTAAAATTGTTACACTAACTTACATAATAATAAATGAATTATAAAGAAGTTAAAATAAACGAAAATTTTCAACAATCAAGACACATTTTTCAATATATAATAAGACAAGTACATTGTACACAAACAAAATGAAATAAATTTCGTTTAAACTAAAACATATCAAGTACAACATAAACAAGTTACAAAACCTTATCATAAGTTATACATCAATTTAATAATAAATAAACATATTATTCACTTGTTTATCATTTTCATTACTTAAAAAATGTTTTACTTTCGTTTTAAATCTTTGGATATTGTCAATTGATCTAATGTTGTCTGGTAAAGAATTCCAGTCTTTTGTGGCATTGTAGAAAAATGTATTTTTAATATAAGAATCATTTTGAGGCAAAACAAAATTAAAATTACTAGATCTTAAATTGGATATTCTACAAACCTTAAACAATTCCTTTAAATAAGAAGGGCTTTTGCTGTAATAAACTTTATGAATGTGATTGAGTCTTAACTGTCTAACTCTATCATTGACATTTAATAATTTAAGATCGGACAGAACCTTATTTGTCACCGAAGTCCTAGGAGTGTAGTCTTTTATAAAGCGCACAACCTTATTTTGAGCTACTTGAAGTTTGTGCTTCAGTGACTTACTCAGTCCTTCGTACCAAGAAGATGAAGAATAATCAAAGTGACACAGCAAAAGGGCAGGACATAACTGTTTCTTTATTTCTTCCGATAAACAATTTTTGTAATGGTATAGAAAATGTAATCTTCCATTCACCTTTGAAAGAATGCTCTTGACAATTTTATCTCCTGATAGGTAACAATCGATATTCAAACCAAGATATTTAACTCCAGACGAAGACTTTATTGTTTGATCATTACATGAAATGGAAAAATTTTGTAGTTTATTAATTTTTGATTTAGAACCAAATAGCATACATTCAGTCTTGCCCAGGTGTAGAGATAATTTATTATCAACTAACCAATCTGAGCATCGTTCCAAGACCTTTCCAAGTTTTTGGGCTATAATTTTTGGATCCTTATGCGAAAATAATATTGTGCTATCATCTGCATATAAAATTAACTTGCAATCAGAATCGATACTAGTTACCATGTCATTAACATAGCAGAGAAATAGAAGAGGACCCAAAATACTGCCCTAAGGGAACCCACACGTAATAGGAATTGAGTCAGAAAAAACTTTACCAATACTTACTTTCTGATACATCATTTATGTTCATTTTTATGACTTTAAATATCCTTGCATATCGTGGCAACTTCCTCAAGAAATCTCAGATATCTGGTACTAATGACGTTTTATGATTTCTGTAAAATTCCTTGGGCATTAATTATTTTAAGACATATATGTATATTTTAGTTTGTTTTGGTTTGGCTCCGGACCGTTAAGATCGAAGTTGTAATTATATATTTACTAGTACCCAGACATCTTAGAAATCTGGTGCTAAAATATCTTTGCTTCTTCAGGAAATATTTTATGAGTTTAATAGTTAGTCTGCCTGTTGTCCTTGTAAGAGTTGGATATAGGTGATATTGTATCTTAGATATCTGGTGCTAAAAATACTTAATTGCTTACGTAAAATCTCTTGGACAAATAATTGAGGTGAGATAGTTTATTTAGGAAATAGTATTTTAAAGGATAGATTTTTTTAAAAGTGTGGTTAATTTGAGATAAGGGATTTTTGTATCGAAATATGAAAGTGAGAAATAAATTTGTGTCAGATTTAGGAATACAAATTTTTGTTTAAAAGTATATTGTTAAGTTGTTTCTTGATAATTGTTGTTTCGGATAATTAAATAATAATTTGAAGATTGTTATTTTTGCATTTTATTATTTCTAGAGTTTTTATTAAGTTGAAATCTAATCAAAAGGTTAAGAAACCACAAGAAAAAATTATATTTGAATATTTCTAATCAACTCGGATAAGTATTCCTAGACAAAATATATTTTTGCATTTAAGAATATTGTGACTCCATTTTGTAGTAATAGATAAATATGCATACAACAGCTCGATACACGCTACACATATACTTAACAAGTTAAATGTTGTTGCTGCATATCAAAGACGCCGCCAAATGATGTGAACAGTCACAGGTAATGTATAAAATCTGAATAGAAAATCGTTCTCTATAACAGTTGAATATCCGAAGCACTAATCAATTTTTTTCTCCATGTTCTTGATATGTGTCTGAAAGTCGGAAATATTTGTCTGTTGTCTGTTGTCTGTCTGTTTGTCTGTTGCGACAATGATTGAAACGTCTGGTCGAAGAAATAAATTGTAATAAATGAAATGATTGGTAAACTTAAAATGAATTCAAGACAATATGTGCCGAGAATATGTCCATTTAAATATTGGTGCGAATTGCATAATGTTCGTTCGAATGAATTTGAGGACGAACTGTCTCTTATTTTACAAATAGCAAAAATATGTGTAATATCAAATAATAGTTATGAATAAATTGATTGCAAATATTTGTGATACATTTCAAAATAAACGTACTTTTTTCAATCAGTTAATCTGTTTTATAACTTAAATGTTAATTATTTTCATGAATTCCATGTCGAACACGTTTTGCCTGTTTTGCAAAAAATATTTCCAATGTGTCCGTATCGCCAATAAAATCTCCTTTGCGTATTTTAATGATACCTCTTGTTCCCTGCTCGAATTTGGCTCCCGTCATTAGACTAGAACGATCGATTACAGGGCTGGGAATCAAAACTGCGTCGTATCCTACAAATTGTAAACAAACGCCGCCATCTTGGAACGAAAAATGTATGTTTTAGTTTATAACTCTTTTTGTTGGAAATGACTGAAAACCAGATATATGTATTAACACGCTACACTATTTTCCGCTTCGTTCGGTATATGTTGCTTGCACAACTATTTTGTTAAGCAAAAGTTATAGCGAACTTGCAACTCGAAGCGGAGCAAAAATTTTATGAAATTGTGTGGATACGACGCAGTTCATATTGCTTTATGTATCGTTTTTTCCTTCAAATCAATTATATACTCATTTTCAGAGGTGAACTCAAAACATAAACTTCAAAACATAATTTTGCGTCATTTACTAAACTTTCATCAAAAAGAGATGTTTATTTTCTAAGAAAATAATGATTTTTACGAAATGATACGACGCAGTTGAAAATAAAATATGATACGACGCAGTTGTATTTTCATTGCAGGCTGCATATTGGTTAAACTATTTAAATTATGTGCTAGGTTTGCTTATAACGTCCAACAACATTTCTTGTTTACAACTTAAGTCAAAAGCAGAGGTCACTCATTGGTTCCATAAAATGGAAATGTAATACAATTCTATTAAGGCTACATTTTTCGGTCGCATATTAGTACCTTTCATAAGCATCTACAAATTCCGAAAAGCTGTATCAAATGCAATCAACATTGAAACACGTGATCGCACACTCATATGACAACGTGTTCCAGTGTTTTCTAAAATTGTTCCCATGAGTTCGAAATGGGAGTGATTACTATTTTTGATACAAAATTCAATATTCCAGTGTAACCTCTCCTGGACCCTGTATTAATCAGGAATGACCTTTAAAAAAAAAAAAAAAAAAAAGAGAAAGAATTACAAATTTTGAAAAGGTCTCAGTGCTATCGGAAGAGAGCTATGCGCAAATTGCATGCCTACCTTTGTTACATGTAATTAGCAATAATTTCCGTCAATTCCGTTATTACTTATGTCTTTTACGTGCCGATTTTATTGTATTCATTTTCTTAATAATCGGTGAGAACACATGAGCTTTATTATTTGAATCTGAACATTGAATTTTTAAAATTATATTACAATATATTTTTGCAAGTAGGTTATGCGTTCCGTTTAGTCATTTTATGTTCAGCGCCGCGGAACTTTACCGCTGATTTTGTCGTATTGCATTTCTTTATCGCCGATGAGGAAAGGTCTACGGAATGTATTTTCTATATTTGCATTTAAGTATCATTCTTCTCCATTAAAAAACTTTAAATTTTCAAAATCGAGTTACATATGATACAACTACAAATTATTTTGTAAAGAATGTGTCCGTTTTGCAAGGGTATTTTACGCTGTGCACCGATAAATTTGATACAGATATAGGCAGACACCATCTTTCAACAGTATTGAAGAATTTTTTTTACAATATTGAACAGATTATCGCATCGAATTTTCAACAGACTAGAGACATGGCATCTTAACGTACCTTCATACTAAAGTGTGATTTTTATTTGATATTTATTTGATAATGAATTGCCTGAAAACTTAAACAAAAGTTTTCAGAAAATGACTTCACAGAGGATTACCCCTGTTTACATTGAAAATTTCTCTGCTAGTCATATCGAAATAAGAAATTTAAATGTTACTCTCTTTATAATTAATTCAAATAATTATAATCTTAAAACTTCACGCCAGAAGTTAATAAAAAAGCTGCTTATTTGTACAGCTGACGTTAACAAATTTTGTTGAAAAAACAAATCAGACAGGTGTGTCCGACCGAGGCCGAACTGTTTATGTTTACTGAATTCAAATCACTTGAACTGAACTGCTGTGAATTCGAAAACCACCAGGGACTTTTTATTCTTTCGTGTGGAAAACCTATCAAGCTAGTTTCAAAATGTCGATGGTTCTCTGCAGGTGCAACATTTTGCCAAGGCGCGCCTGAGGTCCTCGCCCCTAGTAAAGCTAATGTGTAGAGTGAAAGTTTGAACACAAAAAGCAGTCATATACCCAGAACATGCAGAACCACAGTTAACTTGGAGCGTAGCTAGCCAAAATGAATTCAAGTTAATAGATTTCTACATTTTTTTTGCAAAAAAAAATAAACAGGGATAATATTGAACATACGGGAAAATATAAGAAATCATTTCAGATATTATGAACAATTAGGTAACATGTTTAACTGAAAAGTAGCTTCCGCAATGTAAACTTTCAAATTAAATGTTATATTAGACATGACACAATGCATGTATTCTAAATAATCAAAAGCAACAGAACATTGCTATACACCGCAAATGATCTGGGGTTTTGTTATCTAGGGCAAGTGATTATTCCATAAAATAGAAATATATATTGCCAAAATTATCCCTGTTGAAAAGACAAAAAATACAACCAAAAATTATTTTCAACTGCGTCGTATCATTTCGTAAAAATCATTATTTTCTTAGAAAATAAACATCTTTTTAAATGAAATTTTTAGTAAATGATGCAAAATTATATTTCGAAGTTTATGGTGAACTCTGAAATAAATATATTACTGATTTGAAGGAAAAAAACGATAAATAAAGCAATATGAACTGCGTCGTATCCACACAATTTCATAAAAATTCTGCCCCGCTTCGAGTTGCAAGTTCGCTATAACTTTTGTTTTACAAAATAGTTGTGCAAGCAACATATACCGAACGAAGCGGAAAATAGTGTAGCGTGTTAATACATATATCTGGTTTTCAGTCATTTCCAACAAAAATAAAGTTTCCTTTTAAAAGGAAAGGCTTGCACAGTTGTGCCTTCATCCCAACTCTTTAAAATGGGTTGTTTTTTTTTTTGTTTCAATTTATTATCACATTTTTTTTTTTTGAATAACGGTATTTGTATATCATAAAGGGTTTATTTAGTTCTCTTAAAATTAACTCTATTGTATAAAACTAATAAAGAAAATGATCAATCGTAAAATACTAACGTGATACTGAAGTCTGAAGGAAAACAAGTGTGCACATTTCATTTCCCCTTTTTCGCAGCGAAATCATTCCTTTGCTTTATAGACAAGTAAATGCACTAATTAAGAAGCATACATGTATCAACTATGTTACACGATCACAAATAGACGATGCGCTATGTGGCAAGGTTAATGATATGCACGGGCTATTTTTAGATTACCTCACCAGTTCAGTAGATCTAAATATAACTCGATCATGCAGGACCACCCTTTGAAGACGGAATACTACTACCATTCTCTATTGTATGAAACTGATACAGACAAAAAACAATTATAAAAGAAACTAACTTTTGCGTCTTGAAAAACAATTGAAACGGAACAATTTCGTTTTAATTTATTACGGTAATCAAGTAAAAATAGAAATCCTATTTATATAAACAAACTGGGATTACCGAAGTAACTAAAATAGCTTAGATTTCCGTTATATTACTTAGTATGACGGAATCGCCCGAATTGTCACGATTGCAATCGGAACTACATCGGCTATTATCATTAATCCGAAAAGTGACGGAAAAGGCCGAAAGGTTGCGATTGGCACGATTGCAGCTGGTTACCCGTTCAATCATGCACCAACAGATGTAAGCAGGAAACCACCTAACCGGAACAAGTTTTCCATATGAAATGGCTTGCAGCCGTGGCTGCAAGCCAAAAAGTTATAAACAAAAACATACGTTTTTCGTTCCAAGATGGCGGCGTTTGTTTACATTTTGTAGGATACGACGCAGTTTTGATTCCCAGCCCCTGGATTATAGACTGGCTCATTGGCAAGTTATTTATTAGGTATAGATAAAATTAGATAGTTATAAAAAGAATATGATATTCAAACATGGCACTATCACTTCAGTTTAACGTTTATTTTAATCCCTATAAGCTTTGTGACATGTTGTACATCAGAAAAGTTACTTTTATTAGAAAATTTGAAAATAATGTGATTTTGTTAAACCAAGAAAAAAAATGCACAAAATCAAGTCTAAAATTGTCCCCATTGCTATATGAATAAATGCATATCTACTAGACGGCGCGTGCACGCACTGTCTAATAAGGGAAACTAACCTACTATTTGGACACACTGAGCGCTATATCCAGCGCTGTTTAAATATTGCAATATAATTGTATCAGTACAGCCCGTTATCTCAAAAGATAACGATATTGATTCAACCAAATAAAACATCGGTTAGATAATCGAATAATGTACTTTACCTAGTCTGTGGACACTTGTCTTTCGCAAACATTACACAGTGTTGACAGCTATATAAAATGCGGTCACAATAAAAAGTTGGAACCAAACTCAACCTTGGACATTTTTTATCAACATATATAAAAGTTGCAGATATACAAATCCGGTTAAAAACCAGACGATTGATACTTTTATTTTTCAGTATGTCTATACATTGCCTAATCTGTAGTTGAGGATATCCTCTATGTCATTTACAAATATTTCAAAGGTTGTATAACAAAGAAAGTTGTCGTAAAATGTATGAAAACGTAAAAGTAGACAGAAGAAATTAGCCGCGTCACGACAAAACCAACATAGTGGGTTTGCGACCAGCATGGCTCCAGACCAGCCTGCGCCTCCGCGCAGTCTGATCAAGATCCATGCTGTTCGCTATCAGTTTCTCTACTTGTAATAAGGTTTGTAAGCGGACAAAATGGATCCTAATCAGACTGCGCGGGTGCGCAGGCTGGTCTGGATCCATACTGGTCGCAAACGCATTACGTTGGTTTTGTCATGACGCGGTTCAAATAATTTATTTTACCCTTCACTTACTTGAATAAAATAATAATATTTCTCAGGGTATACGGAACATATTGATGGAGTAAGAAAGTGGAAGTAAAACTCCTGGTATGTGCTTGAAGTGTAGGAGACACTTGAGATGCCGAATACCTTATTGATGGGTAACACGGCCATGTGAGGCACCAGTATACATAATCCTTAAATGAAATGAGCCGCGTCACGACAAAACCAACATAATGGGTTTGCGACCAGCATGGATCCAGACCAGCCTGCGCATCCGCGCAGTCTGATCAGGATCCATGCTGTTCGCTTACAAACCCTATAACAAGTAGGGAAACTGATAGCGAACAGCATGGATCCTGATCAAACAGTGTTAATATTTTATATAAATTCGTGACTTGATAATTTATTTCGAATTAATTAAAACTGAGTAAAAAATTCACAGTCACAACTAGTACAAGTTTAATTTATGCAAACCAATAATACAAATAAATACAAGGACAGACAATATCATGTACAATATACATATACATGTATTATAATTACAATTACACGCACCCTCTAATAGACAAAGAGATTAATTTTTTTTTGTTTAAAAAAGGACCGAATATATACTTGTAATTTCAATAAAACGTGGTTCTTAAATACAATGATTAATTGATTTCGAACAATTTTCAATCACTTCTGTCAACTTGCCTTGTTTGAAATATGTTCATTACATAAATTTTGAAATATTCACTGTGCCCTTATTTTTACTTTTTTTTAATGAAATCATTAAAATTATTATACTATGTTGAATTTTCTCATTTAATTATGCTATTGCCAGATACATACATGCATTTATACGATACAAATTGCGCGATAAGAAAACAGTTTGCACTAAGAACATATATTTCCAATTAAAACAAAAACGCATTCAACTTTATAGATTTAGAATAATGGTTTATATATTTATATCTTCTACATGGTATTTAATATTTTTTTCTGAGATATCAATAAACATTTACCTGGTTCCATGCTGTATTCCACTGTTCAACCACTTTGTTCTATTATGCTTGAAATAGTTTAGTTTACGTATTTGTCAATATTGCATCAATGTTGACATAACTCTAATCTGTCTGTTTACAGCTGGTACGAACTTGTTTGTTGTATATTTAACAGTGCACACTATATAGAACTGTATGCAGATACATGAGCCGCGTCATGACAAAACCAACATAGTGCGTTTGCGACCAGCACGGATCCAGACCAGCCTGCGCATCCGCGCAGTCTGATCAGGATCCATGCTGTTCGCTATGACTTTCTCTACTTGTAAAAGGGTTGTTAAGCGAACAGCATGAATCCTGATCAGACTGCGCGAATGCGCAGGCTGGTCTGGATCCATGCTGCTCGCAAACCCATTATGTTGGTTTTGTCATGACACGGCAGATATACACTAATAAAACTTCTCAAACAACATGTCGCTTATCTTTTTATTGTACATTTCAAATCACATCTCAATCTAGCTAATATTTCATATTTACCATACAAGTACACAACCTTACTACAAGGATAGTCCAAACAGGCCACTTGAAGAAAACAAATTATACTTAGCTGAAGAGCAGTGGATTTACTACTTCTTCTTATTTGATTTTCATTATTTATTAAAGAAATTTAATGCACTTTGCTTCTAGTGTTGTACGGTCACTACTATTTGCTTTAAAATCTGAAAACTATGTTATTGTTGGCGAACACAAGATCTAGTTCATCATTAAAACAACATACATAACGTGCTATTGCTAAAATAACTAATTATTTCGAGTGACTTTGGTGAACTGTTTTCTGATTGGTTGTTTATTCTTAGATTATTGTCGCGCCAAGTTTGGACTAGCTGTCAAGTTTAAGAAAACCTGCCCACCCAACCCATTATTTATGTTGCTTGGCAATTTAAATTCTTGATTTTGAGTTTATTGATCGTTTGCTTGTTTTTACCCTTTTGTATGTGTAAAGTTATAAGTATTGTTTAATGGAAATGCACATACATGTGATCCTTTCTTTAACAGAGATGAAAAATATGTACTTCACTGAGGTCGAGTGTTGAAGATAAATTGACTTTATTCAGAAGCAGTTGCTTTCTTATTTTTGTTAAAGGAAGTCATCAGTCTGAAGTAAGAGAGTTCACATGTATGGATATATGTTTATTTACTTCGTTTTGTGTCAGTTAAGATACATGTTACCTGCTTTATTTGTTCTTAAAGGTCTACATTGTCATTATCGAATTTGCTAAGATTGACGGATTTTCTCTATAATAATGTTTAATTATATACATTAAAATTAAACATTAATTTGATCATTTAATAGAGAATTATTCAAATCAAATGTGTACAGCTAAACATACATTTTGCCTAATACTAAAGATGAACTATGTGTGGTGTTTTTATTTCTTATTATTAAAGGTCATTGCCCTTTTCATAAGTAGGGTCCAAGAAGAAATTGTAAACGAAAACAAGATTCTAGTTCATCATAAAATCTTCCTTAATACCGTTTTTTGTAGGCCGACAAAAGATCCTAATTTATAATAAAATCAGCCTGCATACCGTGTTATTGCAAGACGACAAAAGATCCCAATTTATAATAAAATCAGCCTGCATACCGTGTTATTGCAAGACGACAAAAGATCTCAATTTATAATAAAATCAGCCTGCATACCGTGTTATTGCAAGACGACAAAAGATCCCAATTTATAATAAAATCAGCCTGCATACCGTGTTATTGCAAGACGACAAAAGATCCCAATTCATAATAAAATCAGCCTGCATACCGTGTTATTGCAAGACGACAAAAGATATCCCAATTCATAATAAAATCAGCCTGCATACCATGTTATTGCAAGACGACAAAAGATCCCAATTTATAATAAAATCAGCATGCATACCGTGTTATTGCAAGACGACAAAAGATCCCAATTCATAATAAAATCAGCCTGCATACCGTGTTATTGCAAGACGACAAAAGATCCCAATTTATAATAAAATCAGCCTGCATACCGTGTTTTGCAAGACGACAAAAGATCCCAATTTATAATAAAATCAGCCTGCATACCGTGTTATTGCAAGACGACAAAAAGATCCAATTTATAATAAAATCAGCCTGCATACCGTGTTATTGCAAGACGACAAAATATCACAATTTATAATAAAATCAGCCTGCATACCGTGTTATTGCAAGACGACAAAAGGTCCCAAGTTATAATAAAATCAGCCTGCATACCGTGTTATTGCAAGACGACAAAATATCCCAATTTATAATAAAATCAGCCTGCATACCGTGTTATTGCAAGACGACAAAATATCCCAATTTATAATAAAATCAGCCTGCATACCGTGTTATTGCAAGACGACAAAAGATCCCAATTTATAATAAAATCAGCCTGCACACCGTGTTATTGCAAAACGACAAAAGATCCCAATTTATAATAAAATCAGCCTGCATACCGTGTTATTGCAAGACGACAAAAGATCCCAATTTATAATAAAATCAGCCTGCATACCGTGTTTATTGCAAAGACGACAAAAGATCCCAATTATAATAAAATCAGCCTGCATACCGTGTTATTGCAAGACGACAAAAGATCCCAATTTACAATAAAATCAGCCTGCATACCGTGTTATTGCTCGACGACAAAAGATCCAAATTTATAATAAAATCAGCCTGCATACCGTGTTATTGCAAGACGACAAAAGATCCCAATTTATAAGCCTGCATACCGTGTTATTGCAAGACGACAAAAGGTCCCAATTTATAATAAAATCAGCCTGCATACCGTGTTATTGCAAGACGACAAAAGATCCCAATTTATAATAAAATCAGCCTGCATACCGTGTTATTGCAAGACGACAAAAGGTCCCAAGTTATAATAAAATCAGTCTGCATACCGTGTTATTGCAGACCGACAAAAAGATCCCAATTTATAATAAAATCAGCCTGCATACCGTGTTATTGCAAGACGAAAAAAGATCACAATTCATAATAAAATCAGCCTGCATACCGTGTTATTGCAGACCGGCAAAAGATCCCAATTCATAATAAAATCAGCCTGCATACCGTGTTATTGCAAGACGAAAAAAGATCCCAATTCATAATAAAATCAGCCTGCATACCGTGTTATTGCAAGACGACAAAGTATCCCAATTTATAATAAAATCAGCCTGCATACCGTGTTTTTGCAAGACGACAAAAGATCCCAATTTATAATAAAATCAGCCTGCATACCGTGTTATTGCATACCGGCTAAAGATTCCAGTTCAACATAAAATCAGCCTGCATATCCTGTTATTTCAGACCGGCAAAAGATTCCAGTTCAACATAAAATCAGCCTGCATACCGTGTTATTGCATACCGGCAAAAGATTCCAGTTCAACATAAAATCAGCCTGCATATCCTGTTATTGCAGACCGGCAAAAGATTTCCAGTTCAACATAAAATCAGCCTGCATACCGTGTTATTGCAGACTGGCAAAAGATTCGAGTTCAACATAAAATCAGCCTGCATATCCTGTTATTGCAGACCGGCAAAAGATTCCAGTTCAACATAAAACAACCTGAATACAATGTTATTGTAGGCCGACAAAAGATTCCATTCGTAATAAAATCAGCCTGCATATGCTGTTATTGCAGACCGGCAAAAGATTCCAGTTCAACATAAAATCAGCCTGCATATCCTGTTATTGCAGACCGGCAAAAGATTCCAGTTCAACATAAAACAACCTGAATACAATGAAATTGTAGGCCGACAAAAGATTCCATTCGTAATAAAATCAGCCTGCATATGCTGTTATTGCAGACCGGCAAAAGATTCCAGTTCAACCTAAAATCAGCCTGCATACTGGGTTATTGCAGACTGACAAAAGATTGCAGTTTACCATCAAACAACCTGAATACAATGTTATTGTAGGCCGACAAAAGATTCCATTCGTCATAAAATCAGCCTGCATACCGTGTTATTGTAGGCCGACAAAAGATTTCAGTTCGTCATAAAATCAGCCTGTATACCGTGTTATTGTAGGCCGACAAAAATTTTTCGCAAAATTTAATATAATGCTCTGTATGCTAGCATTTAGTCTTTGTTGACGGAGGGAAGGGAACCAGGACAGCTCAATATCACTTACATGCAAGTTACAAAGCCTAAACCACGCCCACTATTAGAGCGGCGGTTCTCTCACAACCGTTAGCTCTTCCATTAAGTTTCAGAATCTAATGACGGGAATCAAATTCGGACAGTGAACAAGGGGTATGACTGAAATACACAACGGAGATTCTTTTTGGTGATATACGGGCGAAACGGAAATATTTTTTGCAAAGCAGGCAAAACGTGTGCTATTTCATGAAAATAATTAACATTTAAGTTATAAAACAGATTAACTGAGTGAAAAAAGTACGTTTATGTTAATTATTTTATGTATCACAAATATTTACAAAAGGTTATTTGTTCTCTTTTGCCGAGATTTTATATTACATTTCGTGGTTCTATACCTAGATTCCAGGCTTGTGTTTGATCAAGTAGTTTAATCTTTTATAAATAAAAAACAATACGTAACTAAGAATTGATTACATTTAACATTTTTTTCATAACTATTATTTGATATTACAGACATATGTTTGCTATTTGTGAAATAACAGAACAGTTCGTCCTCAAAATTATTCGAACATTATGCAATTCGCACCAATATTTAAATGGACATGTGCATAGTCTCGGCGCAAAGAAGGTATTTTTCTTTACCTTTGTCTTTAATATATTTTAAGTATACCAATCATTTGAATTTACTTGTTATCCAATTCATTTCACTTCGACCAGACTTTTCAATCTTTGTCGCAACAGGCAAACATTTCAGAATTTCAGACATGGCATTACTTTGTGAATTTATGCATTAGGTGCTACTTTTTCACACAGACGCTTGGGTCCCAACGTGATAAGCCCCTGTATAAAAATAATTCAATATTTAAACACGAATGGGACATCTGCTACAACGATTCAACTGGAACGTCGCCAAATGACCAATACTGTGTCGGTGTGACGTAAACCCCAAACAAACAAACAAATCAACGAAAACATATTGTAAGGGACTGTGAAAGTTTATCAAATAATTTACTTTCAGGACCTTGTAATGAATATATCAGTTTAAAACAAACTATGAATATAAAAAT